AATAAATTGAAATTGTTTTTATATAACCTCTTAGACTAATTTAATACAATTTTTAAATTTGAGTATATCTTTAATCAGTATAACAGACTGCTTTTAAGTATTTATAAAAACAACTAGAAGATGTCAAACCAAAAAACTTAAGTTAAAATATGCAAATTTTATATACAAGAATCTTAATAAAGATTTACAGCAAGACTGTCAAAGTTAAAAAAAAAGCAAAAATCTCTAAACAGATTCTTTAAATAAACTATGACTAAAGTACTATATATAGTTAAATAATCTTGCTAATATACAAAACATGCAATAAGTTTCTTGTGACTATTAGTAATCCTAAACCTAGTAAAAAATTTCAAGTTCCAAGGTATAACTTGACACAAAAAAATAAAAAAAATAAAAAAATACAATTATAATTCTTATTCTAGATATTATTAACAAATAAATCAAAATAATTTTATAATAAAAACAGAAATTTTTTAGCATTAATTCAATTTAAAGAATAAATCAGAACAAAACAAACATTTAGAGAAAATTTATATAGCACTTGTACTTAGGAGGCGTGTATTTAAAAAATATAACCGTAGATTAAAATCTTCTAGGATATGCAATATTCATGACCCTTGCATATTTATGTAATCGTCTTTCATTCTTCCATGAAACTTTAAATTTTAATAACTCGTTAGCGCAAACAATGGGTTGTATACTAGTTCATACAATATTATACAAAATTAATTAATTGGTTTCATAATCCAGCTAGGTCAAATTTTGGAAACTTTCAAGAAAAAAAATTTTATATTTTTTAATAACCGAATAATAGTTAAAAAGAAATTTGTAAAATTTTTATATATGAAATTTAAAAAAGAGCCGGCCAGTCTACCGGGTTTATTTAAAATTTTCATGTTATAAAACCGACATTAAGTTTGTATAACCTATAAAATTTCTTGTTTATTAATAAACAAACCCACTGATAAAATATACACGTAGCAAACAAGGCGAACGCATCATCATTAAATACGACCGAATACCTTGGCAAACTTCACGAAAGCAATATTATAATTTAAATATTTTATCTTGGTTTAATATAGATAATAAATTTGGAAACTAATTAATGTTTCAGGCTCCACTTTATAAGACTGTATGTATATTTTATCATATCCAAACATTAATATATTAAAGTAATAACGCATTCAATGATTTTTTACAAATGTTGAAATCTAACATAATTCTTCTCAATCCACAAATTGAAAAATTAAAAATGTGGATAAACGTAAATGCACAATGATGAAACAAGAAAAGGCATTCTGAAATAACATAAAGAGAGAAAATGTGGATCAAAAAATATTCTCGTGCGACTTGTGTGGTTTGAGGGTAGAGTTAAAACATTTAACATAGTTTCATGTTTTAACACGGAGACATACAACACCGTCAAGTATCTATGATAAATAGCACCATCTGCAAAGAAACACTATTTTTTGTCGAAAGATATATTGTAACGGTAAATCTTGTTATCCGATAATACGTACGTACCAAAGGTATATAGAATATAGTAATGCCGAATATGCAGTTCAAATCGGCCGGTTTCATCTACTTATAATTTTAGAAAAGTCGGTTAATTGAAGCTAGACAATGAAAAAAGGGATATCTACCACCTTTGGTTGTCTAAGTAAATAAATTATGCCCGACGAGGCCTAGATGATAAACATTTTAATCAATAAATATTACAAATGATCACCACATTCTTATTACAAGGATTTGAAATACTAGACTTCGTTAAAAATGGTTAACCTGTTTACGGATGAAATATGATACCGTGTAGTCGCGAAATAACGTATTTTGGAGTACACAATCTTCGGAAAGCTAAGAATTAATTTTACAAAATTGGTTAAAATAACATTATTGTTTGTCTTCATTAAAATTAATTCTTAACTCACTTGAACCTGGGGAGTTATTTCGCGCAAATACGGTTAAAAATTCTTTAGCTGTGGAACCAAGACCATTATTGAAGGTGAAGTTACGATGTTATGTTTCAACAATTCATTTTTTTTACACTCACTTCTAATTTAATTCGATTCTAATTATTATTATTACTTGATAGTCAAGAAAACTAATCACTATGTCAATGATTTGAGTTTTGGCATTAAAAAATACATAGTTGATTCAATTAAATGACATGAAATGGTTACATAATCTTCCAAAGTTAATACGTAAAGTATTTTGTTGAATCTATTAATGGTTAATTATCTGATTATTTTGTTTTACAGTGATTATAATTACATTAGCTTTGTCGAAATGAACCTATTTCGGTAATAATTCGATAATAATTCGATTAAATAATTCTTGGCAAAAATCAGTCAAAAGTATGTGTGTGATTCCCGCAATCCAAGACAACATTTGAGTCAAAAGCAAATACACGGCTTCGTAGAGCAAGATAAACACATGACCAACATAGATGCAAAAACAAGAAAATAAAAAATAAAATAAAAATAAAATAAAAAATTAATATAAATAAAATTATAATAATAATAATAAAATAATTTTATTAACATTTCATACGTATTAAAGCCAAATTCCTAAAGGAATAACTTAAAATTGTTACAACAAAAATATAAGAGGTTGATAGTCTATCTCTATAAAAAAAAATCATTATTCAAAAAAAGATGGCTCAAAGTGGATTTGCCGGTTCACACTTTCGGCATGATTAACCTACCGAATTTATTAAATTATCGATATAGAATATATCTTACTAATTTAGGAACAAAATTTGATCATTTTAGATTTAAAAATAGTCATATGGGCGCATTTTTAGTATGTATAGTAATGATGCACCTCATTTGGCATAAGAATTATAGCATTAACGCACTTCGGATCTAGATCAATTGGTTAGTTATATGGCTGACTAATTGATCTAGGTCCGAGGTGCGTTAATGCTATATAAATCTTGCGTCAAAACATAAAACCGATGGATTATAATTGTACCTTTATTTACATAAACAAAGTTAATACATATAAAACAAATTTTAGTTAATGCAAATGTTATTTTATATCTTTATCAATATAAATAGTTTCATTACTTTTAGTAGTTTTATATTACAGATAAAAAGTTTGCAATTTTTGTATACAAATTTAAGAAAGAGCTCTTAAAGATATTTTAACAAGTATTATATATTTTAGTTTTCACAAATTTATTATGGTATTTAGATTATCGATTTTGATTAATTTCCAAAGAAATATCAAATATATTTTACTGATCGGCCGTCGGTCATCATTGGTCAGATCATTGGTTCAATTCTTTGGGTTAAATTCATTGGTCAAATCCATTAATCAATCTTTCATTTTAAATTATTTTAAATTGCGCTAATTTGTTAAAGCCTCATTTTACATTGCATAAATTCGTCAATTTCCAAATTTCTGTAAGTAAATATTGGCATGATATAGTAATAATTGTTACCCATATCAGTTAACAAACATATGTAGAATGACATAACATAATCAGATACGAGCTCGGCTTTAAATCTATCGAAATCCGGACCAAAAATCGAGATTTGATTTATGTTATAGAACTGCCTAAAAATACCCCTGCAGATGAACACTATCAATTTAATCGGACCACAAAGATTATAGCCTATCAACGATTAGATTGTTTATCAAAGACTACATAATTTAATTATCAATGCCTTCTGAATTTAGTAATTCGTACAATCGCGCCTTTTTTACATATGTAAGTACGCATTTAGGGATTTGCATAACAATATTCCTAAATATATCGTAATTTATCTTTTGTTCTACAAAGCGATCAAAATAAGAAACAAATCAAAGCATTTATTATCTTAATTATCTTAAATTATGTATGTACTAGTAGGTTTTCCGAGGTAAGATGGAAAATGGATTCAAAATTTATTAATGCGTCTCTGAAATATTATCCCAAAAGGTTATTAAAAATGGTATGAAAATGCTACACGCGGTTGTTAGGATAAATGCGCAATTAAGAAAATACTTATGCTGTGTAATCTTCACTATAAATCCCTTTTAGTGAATATTTGCAATTGCGTTGATGATTTTGTTTTGTTTACCTCCAATGTTACAATAAAGAACGCCTTCGCGAAAATCCTTTATTATATGCTGCATTTATAGTAACGATTCTAGAATAACCAAGATTAAATAAAACATTGGTCACTACGCATGAACATTATCACTTATTTCTTGCTCGTTTGTTTGGCATGCTAAAAAACCATACATAATTGGCCAGGTTTCTTTCACATTCACGACATGGTCACAAGCTCTTACAAAAATTTCATGACACCCTAAATGATTGAACAAACAACATCGCATCGCAGGAACAAAACTGCAGATTATATAGCAAATGGGGACCATGTCCTTATCATGATATTACGAAAATACCCGTACAAAAAACCCCATAAAAACTTTACTTAATACTGTAAATGAAACTCTACAATTCTCCCATAATATTCCGCATTGTAAGACACTTCTCATGACTATTTGTCTCACTAAATATTTCCTTATTTTCCCAATTTTCCAAACAGTGCAACGCTTGACCGGTTCACATTTTGCTAATCGGGTTCACCTTTTTAGTTAGTTTAAGGCTTAAAGGGCGTATTGACATTCAGCATGCACGAGCTAGTAACTATAACGGGACTTGTGTGTTAAACCAAAGAAATTGGCATAACAAGGTTTATCCGAACAAGTCCGAGATTTTTCCGCTCTTGTCGATTTTACTGAATGGTTTTTTTTTTCGTCGTTTTTTTTTTTTTTTTTTTTTTTTTTTTTTTTACTCAGCAAGTTGTTTTTCACAACTATAATTGCATTTTTACATACATTGTGTAACAGTTATGTATACAAATTTCTTTGTTTATCAATGTAAGTTCATGTTTGAAGAGTATTTTTTCCTGTCGTTCTTTTTCCACAATAATCTAACTTCTTTTTCGTATTCTCGTCTTTCGATACTATTCTTTACCCTATAATTTATAGCAAAAATAAAAAAAGGTATGACTAAAAAAGCCTCCGTGTATAGACTAAAAGTCACAACAGCTTGCCAAAACTGTCAGCGTCGAAAAATAAAATGCTCAGGCGAAATCCCTTGTACTTATTGCGTGAAGTTGGAACGTGAGTGTCAACCTGGGAAACCTGGAAAAAAACGTGGTCCACCTCCCGGGCAAGAAATTATTAGAAGTCGAAATAGTAGGTTGGAAAGCATCATTAGTGATGCTGTTAGGGATCCAAAGAAAAGGGAAGAATTAATGAGCGTTGAGGGGATAGAACCTGAAGTTCGACAGGGAATTGACCTATTAAGATATAGAGATGAAAAAGAACTTCAAGTTGTCGAGTCTCTTACCAGATTAAGACATGTACCGCACTCGGAAGGTGGACCTCAAGCACAAACCCCAATTATAAAGAACTTACTAAACGGTGTTGGTCAACAACGTAATGTATAAACATTTATTATATTTGAATTTTTTATTATTATATATTTATGTTTAATCTAGCAGTTTATATAACAAACTAGTCGATAATTGTTTGTTTTTTTAGATTCAAAAGTGGATATATGGTATGACCAATCTAATGTAAGAAAAAACAGTCGGACTCAGTCTACAGATAAATTAGAGTTGATGGAAAACAATTCCACATTTTTACATAAACCAAAACCCGTTTATCCGGTCCATATGAAAGGACATCAGTTTGCTCATGTCGAATCTATTAACGGGCAAACAACAAATTCAAATGAGCCTGTTACCTTCCGAAATAATTTACTTACCGACTCTACTACCTCGTCATCGGGTTTGGTTTCATCTTTATCATATCCTGCATCACCATCTCTTGTATCATCATCGTTAATATTATCCCCAAAACATTCACCATCATTGACATTATTGCCTTCAATATCTAAGTCAATAACTGCATCTCCAACACTTTCATCATTACCAAAATTACCTCCATTATCTTCTTCAATGCCATCATTATCAATTTCATCATCATCATCATCATCATCATCACCATCATCATCATCATCATCAATTTCATCATTAACTAATTCATCAATTGGTCAATCTCAGTTTTGGCGAAAACCAAGTATTACAAATTCTTCACATTCATATTTAACTTCTAATAATGGTTCAACATGCCCACATTCAACATTTTCAAATGGTCAGACTTATTCCCATTCATACCATACAGCCTGGAATTATCCATATCCGAAGCCTTTTAATAATAGTTTTGATTCAATATGTTCGGATAAAAAACCCATTCATCAAAATTCATCAACTTTAAATAAGGGTCCCATTCTTCCAGATTTATCTAGTTTAAATAAGGGTCATTTTACATCAGGTCCATTAAGCTCTTCAAACAAGGAAGCTATGCTGTCAGATAGGTTTGATTCAAACCATACCTTAAAAATTTCTGAAAATGGATCAATGCATTATTTTCTTCCGCCATTACAATCGCCTCAAAAGAAATTTCATTTACCACAATCAAATGTGTTACCTCCGTTACAGCCGGTAAGCGATCCACGTTATATACCACCACCACTACCACCTCAAGATATTCGAGGATCATTAGAGTGGGCGCGACAAATGCCTCAAATGTCTCGTAACTTTACTTGTAACAATTCACAAGTTATGCCTAAAATTGATAATGGAGTTGTTGGTTTACCTCCGATTACTAATAATGTGACAAATAATGTCTATTGGTCGTCAATAACAACGCCTAGTTGTTGTGATTCTGAAAAAGAGAAAAATAAATCAGTATCATCAGGAAGTAAACCGGTTTACCAAGAAAATAAGATAACTCCACCAATTAAAGCGTATCCGACTGAACATGCTAAAAAACATTCGGCTTATGGTACGCGAGGCCGAAGTACGTCAAGTGCAAAAACTCGTCATTCAACTGATGGCAGTGGCGCAGTAACTTATCAAGCATTGAATCGTCGTTCTGTTCACAATAAGAGTACACATGTTCGTGGTGTACATCAAATGCCATGCCAACATGTTAAACATGCTAGTAATACGGTTGATCAACAAAATTCATTCAGTTATTCTTATAATTATGATGTAATGGACAACAGTTCAATAATGATTGGTAGTAAATATGAAATAAACAAATCGTTTACATCTAATACTTTTGAAAGCCAGTTTAAGGGTAATTTTCACAATGATGTAATGCAACGGGGTCACTTCATGGAACGGGCTGGTGATGTGTCTAGCAATGTTATTTCGAAAATTGGATCTATCGATGATTCACGTATAATAGATTCGTCGACAATTAACAAAGGAAAAACTTCCAATCCAATTAATAAATTTGTTGATACTGCTTCTTTCAATGTTGATCCGTTAATTTTAGCAGATACGCGTAATAGTGAAAATAAATCCGTTACGTTGGATGGGACAGAACGACAACCCTCGAACAGGCCATTGGTTGTTTCTATAGCTTCATCGGCTGGAACGTTATCAACCTCGAAAGCTGAATCTGACAAATGTCAATTACATGAACAATCTTCCAAACCGTTAACACCACCAAGATGTGACAACGAAAACTCAACACAAAAGAATCAGATTGGATCTTTGAGTCCATCAAATGTTGAATCGGTTTTAACTCCTCCTACCGTTCAAGATGATTCATCAGCAATGGATGTTGAAGACAGTCCGTCGTCTCATTCCTCAATATCTGGAAAAGTAGAATCAAATTCCAAATTAAATGAGGATAAAATGGGTGCGGTTACGTTGACAGATTCGGAGGATTATTACAACTCTGAACGTAATAAACGTAACGAAAATAAGAATTTAATTAAAAATGTTCCTGAATATGATACTGACGATACATATGATGATGATGACGAAGAGTATAGGCCGAAACGATTAAGACCAATTAACCATCGTAAGAGAGCTAGTGCAGTTCCAAGACGAATTACACGAAGAACCAAGCCACCTGCACCTAAAGACCCTAGTAAGAAATGGGTTAGACGCAAGGAATAGATTTCTATCTGCGTCGTATCGTGAAAGGTAAGGATGTAATGGGAGAATCATACAGTGGGTCTAATAAGCAAAAAAAAAAAGTTAATATGCATGTAAATAATAAGCGAAGTTTAACAGTCATTAGAGAATACGAAATTTTCTTAATTTCACCACCTATGTAAAGAAAAAAAAATTCTGGTCGACTGATGTCGGGTTCAGATAAAATTAATATTTAAATTTATTTGCAATAATAGTTTCTTTTTTTTTTCTCTTTTTTTTTTTTTTTTTTTTTTGTAGTTTTTTTTTTACATACATAAAAGGTAACAAATAATATAATTAAATAATAAATTTATTAAAGTTTAATTTACAAAAACGATAGTATCTTAATACCAATACGCGAATTACGTAACCTGATTTGAACGTGTAGAATACTTCACTAGCCATGTCAATACAAAAACATTTTTAAATGCTTTACTAATTTTATAATTTAAAATGGTAATTACCGACAGAAAACAGCACTACATTCTATTTACAAGACGCGTATGATAGATATCTGATGCATTAGATCTTGGCATATAAATTAATATATTACCATGATATATCTTTTGGTATCTATAATTCTGAAACAAATTAAAAAGTTTCTCGTCACCGAAATCTTTTTAGTTTCATCCTGAGTCACCTAACACTTTGAAAATACATCGCTATCTTTGAACCTTCAATCCGGAGACAGCTATGTAATTTCAGGAGAGTTATGACGAAACCGAAAAGATTTCAAGGGTTTCAGGTAATGAGCAAACTCTTAATTTTTCTCAGAATTTATGAAAGCAGCTATAATCTTCTATACAAACAAAATTAAATCGAAAGGTACTCAAAACAATCTCTTAAGTTATTCTATACATTGACTAATCTTAACAAGGAAATCCCAACTTTTAACGCTAGAATCAGTCTCCTAATTTGCTCTTTCAGTACTTACATATCCTCAGATTTATAATAATAGGCCAATTGCCAGCGTTACCATAAAGAAAAGAAAAAAAAAATCTGGTTTAATAATATTTAATGTCGTTCATTATTTGTATACCATGTTACAATTTTTTTAATTAATTTTCTTAAAACTCTAAACAAAATTTGACAAATCTGACAATTTTTTAAAGTTTTGTAATCAAATTTGATAAAACTCTTGTTATCTTTAAAATTTACTTGATTTCAATTGACTCACCTTTTGTGATAGTTATAATCGAATATAGCTTTAAAATATAAATGATTTTATTATATATAATTATTATATAAAGGACATAATGCAAATATGTTAAATCGAGGCGTTTTTTACACGTGCTCGATAAATATAGTCACGTGGAAAAGTCTAGGCTTTTTTAAATTGCTATGTACGCCGAATATAGAAAGTATGCTAAAAGTTATCTTTATCTAAACATAGTTCATGTACGTCTATAGGTTCTTTGCATGCTCTTAAAGTAAGCCTAATCCGAACAAACTTATTTGGCTTTATCAATATGCTTATCTATTAGAATAAATGTATGTCAACCCAATAATGAATGTAGATGTAACTCACATGAAAGAAAAAAAAAATTAATAAATATCTAAATTTAGATATGTGCGTGCGTGTGATTGATATTCGTTACTATTTTTTTCATTTTCTTTTGTCCACAAAATCGATGAAGATGGATATAAGATCTATTATGATTAAATTCTTCCATTAAGAGATTTAAAGTTTTGCCCATGTCTTTATGTTTAACTCCCATGCCTCTACCAAAAATCGATAACATAACCGAAAATAGATCACGTGCATGTTGGTCGCATGCGTAGCTGAGCCGAGTATACCAACTACCTAGAGGTAAATATCGTTCCATATGTTGAATGTTATGAGTATTGCAAGATTTTATAAATTCTTCTGTTAAAAAAATCACTTGTGGATTTATAGATCTTTTGCTCAAGAATTTTATAGCTGTGAAATGATAAATAATTAATGTCTGATAAAATTTTAGGGAAAAAACTCTTAAAACTTTTACCTTCATTTGTCATTTTAGTAGTACATGGACCCGGGTTTTTAACGTCAGTCTCTACATCAGTTATCTAAAAAAAAATCACAAATAAATTATACATTTGATTTTAAAATTCAGTAAAATCACTAAAAACTTTCTTCATACCTCCAACCAACATCCTGGTTTCAATACCTGCGTGATAAAACATGAATGATAAATCAGTATATATATACAGTATATATAATATTATTACATGTAAAAATTCATATATGATCACCAATTACCCTAATGGACTCTTTTATTAAATTATCCCACTCAGAATCCCTGAAATTAAGTGCGAGAAATCTCATATATATAAAATCGAAGCTGTCACTCTGAAATGGAAGTCCTTTTTGCATATCCGATATAACAAATTGAACGTTCGAAGGTTTTGATTGCGGGAAAAGCTGTGGACTCTTGTCTATACCGACAAGAAATGAATCTGGAAAGTCTGAGTTCATTTCAAAAAGCCATACACCATTACCACACCTATAAAATAATACGTCTGACTCATTGATAGAAAAATTAGTTTAAGCATATTCCTTAAAATTTATGTGAAATTCCTTCATTATCAATAATTATCATTTATTTACACCCCACTAAAGCAATTGAAATTATTAAGGAATATCATAATTAGAAAATAATTCCAGAATTGATAGAATCCGTTAAAAAGTACACTTTTTAAAAAGGAATTACTTAAATAAATCTGATAAGTTTTTTTTTTTTTACCATTGCTGTTTTTAATTTAATCGATTTGCGAAATTTATATCCTGCATATTATAATAGTCTTCAGAATGATTCACGATCAGATGATTTCGAAGAAAGTAATATTACTCAGGATACATCATAATAATCATGGATTTAAAAGTTTTAACATTTCGCTAATCCAAATAAATCGAAAACAATAATAATGCATATTATTGAAGTATTCACACGTTTTATTCAATCGCTTTTAAGTGAAATGTAAACTAAAATCCATTAAGAAATGAATTTTTCACAAAATTTTCATTTGTTCCCTGAAAGGATATGCTTTAAACCAATCTTTCTATCCGTAAGTTAGACCAATATTCATTGAGATACAAATATAAATGCAAAACTTTTCAATCATTCATGCGTACTTATTTATTTACATACCCGATGTTTAAAACCTTGGCATCACCAGCTTGTAACAAATTATTTATAGGTGAAGAAAAATTTCCATAAAAAATTTCTCTTAAAATATCATGTTGTAAACTTAAACGTTCTCTTGCACCGTCAAGTTGGTCAAAGTCGATATTAAGTGATTGATAATAGTCAACTTCTCTTTTTTCATCAGTGGAATGAGCTTTTGAAGACGCTCTCCCCATGTTCGTTAGATTCGATACTTTTGTGAATTAGTATTGAATATTACACATCTATTTTATATTCTAAGGAGCTTTTATTAAGCGAAAAATGAATGACAAGGTATTTAACGGGTTGATTAATAGTTCAAATGTCGTAGAAAAACATAAATTCAAGTCATAAAAATTATATAACATTAAACTTTCTACGAAATTTGACAATTCAAAAAGTTTCCGAGGTACACTTTTTATCAATCATACCAAATGATCTTCCTGTGTAATGTTTACATAGATTGTTTAAAACGTTTTTTCGTATTGCTACTGTAAACAAATAACTCATAACAAAAAAGTAAAAAATTAACACCACATGAGTGTCACCGAGACATTGACCAGCATAATTATGGTTATACACAGTCCGAATTTGTCATAATAATAAATGTTTTTTTTTGAGGTCAAGCTTACTTATCTAACACTAAGCAAATATGTAATGAATATTTCACAGACCGCCGCGAATATCGTGAATAAACCGTGGTAATCGCATGATGTTCTAATATATTTCACGGTTTCTATTGATCTGCCTAGTAACGTTTCTGATTATTTTCACGGAATTGCGTCGCCATAAAGGTATTGGAAATGTTCACGGATGAACATTAAAGGAGCCGTGAATCAGTACCAATGAGAATAAGAGAAATATTCTACTTGTCCATGATCGCTTTAAAATTGGGGTAGCAACCCGGCGAAATTAGAGCAAAAATATGGAACCAATATTTTATTTTTCATATGTCAAAACTTGTTGGAATCGGTTTTAACATATGAAAATGAAACCGGTTCCAAACTCTAAAATACCTTCGATACTGCGATTAAATCTTAAATATTTTGCCGTAAACGAAAAATTTCGCTTCGAAAAAGATTAGAGTAATGAAACTTTTTTTGAAAAAAAAATAAATAAATAAAATAACGATGTTGGCTATCATTGTAACTCAAGTTCCCGTAAGTTAGTTATAATGCCGACCGATTTAGTCGAAATTATGTTCTTTCCGGAAAATTGCTCCAGAAAATCATGCAATAACCTTTGGCTGCCACGCTTTGGGGTTAGCAAATAAATCGATTCTTTAGAAATTGGCATAACCAATTTAATTAGGTTGATAGAAAAAGTCATGGTATTTCGGAGATCTAGACAGTTAATTAATTCAAACGACGAGTGGGTACCAGTGTTATAAATTCAAAATATTTTTATTCGCGCAAACGCAAAAAAATGTGCACAAAAAAAAAAAATTTTTATACACGCGCAAATTTAAATCTAAGTACGCTGTGCTTACTGCGTGAACCCAATTTACATCACTGGTGGGTACCTGGTAAAATTCAGAATACATATTTTATATACTACGGACAATCGACTTAGCATAGTAGACTATAGTCGAGTCAATAAATTTTAGGATGGCTAAAAAGTATTTACAAAATAAATAAAAAATTATACGATAATTTTAAAATGAAGTACAAATCAAAGGACCAATTTTAAATGATTATAATACCTGCAAGAGATTGAAACAGAAAAAGGAAGAGTATATATATTTTTAAAAACTATGATCACATTAGAAAAATTATCAAAGATAATAAAGATGGTAAATATAACCATGAATAGGTTAGATCATTTCTATCTGTGTATACCCATTCTTTGAAGATATTAAGAAAAAGGTGATATCTCTTGATCCCAGTGTACACATGTTCATGACCAAAGGACGTATCATAAATAGGGTAATAGAAATTTTGATAAGATATTCAAATTGTCAAATAAATACAATAAATTGCGGAGTGACAAGTCTTGGGCTATAAGTATTCAGTGCAAGAAATATAAATGACACCGGGGCGGTCCCTGATCCGACCTTTCACTTCAAATTGAAGTGGAAGTTTGGGACATGTAATAAATGAGATTTTTGTAAACAAAACGAACACTTTGGGATTATAATTTATATAATCCTAAAAGGTTATTTTGTTGGTGAGGATTACAAATACAATAGCACACCCGAACTTTGTAGGGTCTGCCCTGGTGTCGTCCAAGGAATATAGGTTAAAAGTAAAATGTAGCCAGGTGGTTATGCATGAATTATAAGATTTATTATTACCCATATTCGAAACCTTGAACATTGGTGCTTAGAAATAAGAGAAAGAGCAGGTCAAAGACTGCTTGAATGACGTTGATGTGATCACACTTAAGATTTAGGATGTTTTTGCAACATTAGGAAAGAGAATTCAGAGATTACAGATCATTAAGTATTCCAAAGAGTATACATCAAAGATATGTGGGAATTGCGGATTCATAATGAACAATCTTGGTGGATCAAAGATATTTAGACTTGATTCGTATGATTTTGAAATCAACAGTAATGTCAATGGTGTTAGAAATATCTAGCTCAAATGTTTTACGGAGGGTCAGGTTCACGCTTGACTTTGAGACTTGTACTATCTGGGATACGATATGCATAATAAAGACTAACATTATTTATTCATATCAATATTGGAATCAATTCCAAGGATCTTGTTTGTAGTCGACATAAATTTATCGTCTTGACTAGGTTGAGATTTAACAATTGGCTTAGTCTACTTTTCAAGTTGATTGCTCATAGTATAGAAATATATATTCTGAATTTTATCGGATATTCGCACTTGTCATTTAAATTATTATTATTATTTTTTTTCCCTTGAAGTGGCAATCTTGCCTGTATGTCTTTATTAGTAACATAAGATTACATCTTTATATATACAAAGTCTATCAACAAAAGTACAACTAGTCACACATATAACTTTAATCATTATCTAATTAAGGGTTCCGTCCATAGGTTACTCACCATACCTGAGACCTGCCTGTGGATCTCATATTTAAACTTTCTAATTTTCAACACTTATTTGCATATATATGTAATATTTACATTACTATTATAGTGACATTTCAGTTTAGGGTTATCTAATTTTATTTATATCAAAGTACTATCTCATTGGACATTACTAAGTATCTATAGCTTTCGAATTTACCTTTGATGCAAACTTACTAAGCATGATACCAAAATTATCTCTTAAATCCAATTTAGTCTATCTCATATTTATTAAACTGGTTTTAATGTCAAAAGTATTTGAATTTTAGTAAGTTCATTTCTTTTCTATAGTTTTTTTTTATGTTCATCATATCACCTACTAATGTGCTTTCTTTCTATTTTTAATATGTTCATTGCTTCTTTTGCATCAAGTATTAATTCTTTATATTAGAAAACTTCTTTCTAAGAACTTCTTTATATATTGATCTTTTATTTATATGAACTTAATCACAGAGTTTTATATATATTCTTATGCTTATATAGATTACAGAGTTTTTAGTTTCAGTTAGAATTGAATTATTAATCTTGTTTGTGAAAGGAAAGACATATGGACCATTAGGCTATAAGATCCTATTCCTATTATTTAAATTGTTTGACTGTCTAATGTTTATTTTATAAACTAATATCCAAAACTAATTATATTTTTCTAAATATAGAAATATATGTTATTATTAGTTGTCTTATTAAACATGATACATTAATCTAATACATTTATATTAAAATATAATTATATAGAATTTTTTATATTAAATTTTTTTTTTTAATTAATTTTTTTTGAAGCTAGGGTTTTTTATTTAGTAGTTAGGATATAGAGACTCACAGCCAAGGCTTCAAAAAAGTCTCCTTATATTAAAGAGTACAACTAGTCACATGTATACTTTTGATGTCTAATTAAATAGTCTGCTAATAGTTCTATATTAGCTACTATACCTGCAACTCAACTAGGAGTGTTGTTTATTTAAATCTTCTGTACTGCAATTTTACTATATCACTAGACATCTTCGCTATATAAGTTAGTTGAGAAGGTCTAAATGCTTATCTGTATCCTTAGAACTCTATATCTTATTTTATGCAGTATATCTTTAAAAGTATTATTACTAGAGCCTTTCATGTCCTATATATAACTAATTTAGTTTTATATAATATATTATAGTTACCTAATACTTGTAGTTAGAGCTAACCTTAAACTACTATGTTATACTATTTTTACTCTTGTAAAGTTTACTAGAACCCTAGTACCTATCTTCCTAGTATCTTCTTCATCATTCCCTACTAGCTACAACTTAGAACTGGTAGTCTCTTCTAGACTATTAATCTAAATACCTAGTATAATATACTTCTGTATCCTTTTCCTCTAATAAATTCAGCAGTCTGGTTAGTTATATGCTCCTCTATACATTTGATATTCAGTTTAACCTTTAGTTTTTATAAAAGTGTTTTGTAGACTTTAACTTGTTTGATAGTATCATTAAAAGTTCATGCTACCTTTTTACTCGGAAATTTTTAAGTAGGTTTCCATCACCTTAGTTCCTTAGTCTTCTACATCTGGTAGTCTTATCATAGATTTGTACTAAAGTCTTATGCAACACTGGTTATATATTCCTCTATATATGTGTAATATTACACTTTATATAGATGTCTTGAATTCCCAATGTCAGTAGGACTTAACTTGGTATACCTGGGTTACAGTTGTATGAGTTTAATTGATTAACAGAAAATAGTTACTAAAATGCAAATATAATTTTCAAATTTTGTCATAAGTGAGATTTAAATCTTAAACCTGCTACTTAAAAGATGACAACTCAACTACTATACTAGAATTATTATTTTAATTTTTTATATTAATTTAAAATTAATAAATAAATATATATATATATTTTTAAGATGATCTTTTGAGTCTTTTGACTTTTATTAATATTTTTTGGCAATGTGTTTTATGTAAAACTACTATAAAAAATGTACAATTAATTACATATTTAACTTTTCTATATTATTTATTTAAAAAGTTTATCTAAAAGTTTTTCATCAATTTTTATATCTAATATTCTTATTGGATATTCTATTTTAAATCTTCTAAACTTTTAACTTATATTAACTTTCTAGTTTATATTCAGATTTTTATCTTAACTTTAAGATTATTTTATTTTTGAAATAAAT